ATAGCACGGTATACGTACTAGTACTGATGACAGCAGTCAATAATCATCCCTATTGGAACGCGTACTGCGCGTCCCCTCTGTGATTAGACGCGCTACAAAAAAGCTAGTTGCGAATAGCTCCAAACTCTGACTGTATAATCTCGTGCTTGCCTGAGCAAGAATGTGCTGGTGGCCGTGACCGTGATTATCGTATACCGTATAACCACTCCGTAATATCTCGTTGCAAAGCTTCTCGAACGCGTGTCTTTACGAAGGAATTCGTGACCGGTAAGTATGGGGGTAAAGGAACTGATACCGCAGCCTCTGTGCACTCCCTCATTGCGCTTATACCCAAATGTAGCCTTAGGCGGTCGATATATTCCGAAGTACGTAACGAAACTTGGAATCCAGGTGACGCGACTGCTGGGCGGGGGAGAGATCGAAAATCATCTCAGATATCGAGTCAATTTTACACCTAGCCAAGTAACTATTCTGAGCGTTGCCATCTTGGTCCTACGTTCAAAAGGACTACGGTAATGCATGGGAATGGATTCCGTATGCCCTCCGCACGAGTTATCTCTACTTATCGGACGGAGGCAGGGTACTCTCAGGCCACTAAGAGGTCTTGAAAGCCTAAAGTGAAAAGCATGAAATGTCTCCAGCGAAGTGGCGTGATCAGCCTCGTATTCCGTATAATCCGTACTACTACTACAGTACATATCTACGTTCCAAGATACATCGCTCTCATCGTCTTCCTTCACTTGTACGAACTGCTACTACTATCCCTCTCTCTAAGTAAAAGGCACACCCAGTTAAGCTCCGCAAATCGTAAAGCGGCAGTTTTTATGAATGGCTGAAAACTTTTATCGATTCCATTGTACACCGAAAGGCCGATCACTTGGGTCGCGGAAAACCGTTAAAAGCTGCCCTTATCCGTAAATTCGGAAGTCTTTACAGGTTTTTTCGTATAACCTTTTGTTAGGCCCCTGATAGAATTACGCTTTTCGTCTTTCCAGCGTAGTATTCTTTTATGATTCAGCTCACTGGCCAGCTGTATACTACTACTTTGGTCTTTCAAAAAGGGAGATAATTACTAGTAGGTAGTACAGTACGTATAATCAGGGTATCGAGGCCCCCCGCTATGGTAAAGGGCAGGTTAGGACCTACTAAAGTTGCAAACCGATTTCAATATACATATCGCAAGTGAGTAAGCTAGCAGCATTCATTTATTCTGCAAATTCTCAATTGGACTGAAGACGGTGAAAAGAAACTGCCTTGATACGATTCCTGGGACCTGATAGGGGTGGCGGAGTCTACTCCGTAGAGGAAGGCCGAAACTGTAAGTAGAGACTCTGGGATTGAATGTTGCTGTTAAAACCAATAGCAGCTTGGTTCCAAGCCACCTAATGACGAAACCCAGCTTTAAAAAAAATTGGGTGCTGATTCCCCTTCGCCGAGTACTACTCGTTGTAGAATAACCCTTGGACTCGGTATCAGCTGTACTGTACAGTAAACAGACCTCTTGAAGCCACGTGCGCGAATATGGCACGCTCCTCCATCCATACGAGCCATACGAAGGTGCGCTACACGAACTTTGAAACACTACCGACGTTTTGCAAATCGGATTCCCAAGGGTGGCACGGATAGACGTTTGCTGTCCGCAACGTTTTCCCGCGGCTCGTGCCCACCTTGGCCACGCTGACGGGAATTTATTAAATGAGAGGAGTAAGTAGGGGGAAAGCCTCAAAGTTATAAATGCAGGGAATTTCCTCCGGTATTGAGAGACGGTTTGGAAGCATACAGTATCGTTAATCCAGTCCCGTATACGAACAGTTCGAGAATCCATCCATTGCAGACCACGACTCCAGTCGTCAGTCAGATCCTATCTTTTGTTTTGATGCTTTTGTCTCTCTCGTACTACAGTGCGGCATACTCCACAAATCCGAACTCCGCGTTGACCCATGTCGGGACGATAAACAAAAAGTTACCAAGCAATCTGACAGCGGAGCTCCGGAAACATGGAGATTCGAGACTCGAATTCTACGGAGCGGAGGTATGGATACCCCTGATTGGTTTTCCTCGCGTTCACACGTCAGATGATACCGATAGTCTCTCAACCTCGATTCAACGACAGAAGTAGTAGGGATTAGCGAGATTCGCTAAAAGTTCAGTGATCGGGATTCGGAATAGTGTTTCTATCCGCTATTTATATCTTACAACTTTAAATGTACCCGTATAATACCATCTACGTAGTACCATCAGCCGGATCTCACGTACGTAGTAACTTGTTCACAACCGCACAAGGTAGGCTGTCGGATAGTCTTGGTCGCACGCTTATATGAGTGCGCTTTGTCGACTTTCAATCACTGCCGACTTGCAAATCGATATGCTTATACGATTTCTAATGTGATTGACATCGTATCCAGCCTAGACTAGTATTCTTCTACTACTCAGCCCAGGCGCTATGTATGCTGTCTGTGCTATTCATCACAGCACACTTTTTTCCAAGTGATGTTAAGAGAAAATAGCAGTAGAACCGAGCGGCACTAGCGCGTTGGCGTTGATAGAGACTGAGGTTGCGTAATTGATATTTACGAATGTAGGATTGTGATTGTGCTGAAATACATCATTTTAAGACTTTTTTTTTCTTCCAAGATGCGTCGAGTCGGATTGGTTTGCATGTCGATGTTCTACTTTTTAAAAGTCGGTGTGCGTAATGCCCACGTGGGGACGCGCGATGTTACGGCCTTCTCTCCAGCTGTGTTGTTTTATTCCGTGTTTTTCCCCAGGGTTGAATCAAGATTTGGTTGCGGGAAAGAACCAGACGTTCGATTTCCTTCTAGCCCATGGATACTGGATACATACTAGTATCAGAGTATCGAGAATCTCTGAAAGTCCCGTGGAAAATTCTCTTGTACCTTCCTTTCTCACCCGCGCCCCGGCTAAGCCCTTGGCGCATTCCGTCCGTATTTCGTAAACTTGCCAAGGCTGGAAGCCGTTTCAAGGAAGGTTTGAAAACCCTGTACTACCACCATGTTTGTAGAGGCCCTCGGCTCTTACTCCGAAGTTGCTAATCGGAGGATGCCACCTACTGCTAGTTGTACGTAGTACATAGCTCGAACCAAATTTTTCGTTCCTAGACTCTTGTAAGGATTTATCGGCAATAGCGTCTGCAAAAAATGAAAATTCTACGAAGACTATTCTCTCAACTGGAACTGCGATGTACGGAGTGTGCAAAGCTGGTAGTATGGTCTGTCATAGCTTGTAAAAAGCATAAACTCACGTGGAAACTAGAGTACTCGTGTCTGTGGGCACGCGTCGGAGTTCCAGCTGCTGGGATAATGTGGATAATGCTGTATGAAATGATGTACGTAAGTTCTGCAGGTCTTTTGCGGGTGACTTGGCGCAATACTATCACGAAAGAGGGGGGCTCTGAAAGCTCTGAGTAAGCTGAAATAAGCTGAAAGCTGTTATACTTTTTAGGCCCTATGTCATTGACTCGGAAGAGCCCCGTTCATTTTGAGAACCAAGAGCTTCTATACCCTATACGAGATTTGGTGGGATCACTTTGGAAATAAAATGGAGAAGAAGATAGACCCCTAACGAAAGAGAAAAGCTCTTGCCCTTGTAAGCTGGCTCCAGGAGTCTGAGTTGGATAATCTCTTGATATACTTCGTGAGGAAACCCTGTATCTTTCTAGAAATCTTCATTGTTTCCATCAGAGCACGGCCAGCAAGTGATCTACCTAACGTCTTTGAAAAAGGGATATCAATCTGCTAGTGGTTTGCAGGTCCTGCAGAGCACTGGCAGGTTTTGGCTATTTTGGATCTAGCTTCCTAGATTCACAGTGGAGTTACTACGTAGTTGTAGCTCGCTCGTGTTAACGTTTCGGAGCACCTATCTCATAAGGGTCGAAACCTGCAAATTTCACTTCGAAGCGGCCTGCAAGTTTCTGCTATGTAAAAACCTCTATTGGTTCGTTGGTCCCGAGACTCCCGGCGTCAAAACCTCTAGTACGTAGTATATCCGTTCCGTATGCTTGATTACCAATATCCAAAACCTTATCAAGCCTAGTGCTATCATCAAAGATAGGAGGTGGGAGGATAGTTTGTGGTAGAGGCTTAATGCCCCGAGCCCCCTCGAACATGTGTATGTTTGTGTGTCTACGTACTACGTACTTCTACTATCCCCTTTTGTGATTGAAAGGTAGAACCCTAGAGTTAGTACGGATCGGTTTTTGCCATACTTCCAATCGTGGTACTATGGCCGCGCGGTATGGTTATTCAGGGAGTGGAATTGTGTAAAGGCCGAAGGTGTAAAACTGCAAGGATTTCGACCGATAAATTTCCCATACAATACTAGCTATGATGAAGTTGGTTGATGAGGCCTTTCAACTGCGGAGTATACTGTTGAAAAACAGCTTTTCACTTACCGAGCGACCTGGTGGGACTGCCCGCCTCGCTTAAATTTCTCTTCATGCATGCAGTATAAACATTAGGCGAACATTAGCATACGATGCAGACCAAGATCGTCGACGTTTGATACCCGATCTTGTGGGTCGCTTGATGAATGGAAGGTCGCTCGAAGACTAAAGATCGGCAACGTTTGGCGCCCGCTCTTGCGATCAAGGAAAAAGTCCGAAGTAGATTCGATGTACGGAGGAATGAAACATCCCGCACAGACATAGCATAAAAAAATAAGAATGTACGATGGACCCCGGCCAGAATGTTTAGACTTTATACTGCGTCCAAGGAGTAGGTAGCAAAGACCCCGGAGACCTTAAGCCAGCGATTGAGTCTGAGTCATTAACCTGTCAATGCGCGACAAGGACGGGTTTGTACATAGGACGAGGCACATCTACGTAGTACATCTCAAGCTGTCAAGCCCTTAAGCCCGGTTCATCCAGTCTGTGACACGTTCTTTTACAGCAGCGATTCCTGTTCCAATACGCAGCTCCCTCCTGACATTTCGATTTCAGCCTGCCGTCCGCCGCCCAAGCCAGAACAGCTCTATCATTGAAAATGGCGTCGGGCATAGAGAATCTCACTGAGAAAAATTACCGTGTTTGTTGCCGCGCCTTTACGAAGACCACCATATCGCTAATTCCGATTGTAGACTATGCTCTGGACCCTATATACGGTCGCTGTCTTTATCACAGTCCTTCGACTCGCCGTCCGCTACTTTCAGATGAAGCGCCTCCTTTGGGACGATGCCTTTGCGATTTTCGGTCTTATATCCTTCACGGTCATGGTGGTCCTGGCCGAACTGATGTGCGAAAAAATATACATGCTCATAACTTTCAGCGAAGGCGGATCGCTGGGACCTAAATACACCGAGACGAAACAAATTACGGACGGCATAATAGACCAACTCATCATGCAGTTCTACTTCATGATGTTGTTCTGGACCACACTTTGGAGCATCAAGGGATCCTTTTTGATGTTCTACCGCAGACTCTTCACGGGGACCGACGGCTACATGAAATGGTGGTGGGCTGTGGTGGCTTTCACCATCGCTACTTATATCGCTTCCGTGCTTACAAATGTCATGGTTTGCCTTCCTCTCTGGAGACGATTTACTCTGAATACGCAAGGTGGGTCTCATGTGCCTTATCTTCTGAGAACCTACTAACATTTCTCTAGATCTGTGTGGTGTCGTAGGTGCCCGGAGGGCCATTTGGGTAGCAACTACGATCGATATTTTATCGGACATCTTTATCGCAATGCTGCCAATTCGTCTGCTGTTCCAGCTCAGGATCTCAACCAGCCAAAAACTAGGAGTGGGAGGCATTTTCTCTCTAGTCGGCTTCATCATAGCTGTGGCCATCGTTCGAATGATATATGTTCTAAATTCTATTTCGACGTCAGTGCAATCTACCCCCCTGAAATCCTTATCTTCGAAACACTTAGAGAATATGTACTTACATTCCCATAGTAGCGATACACGCCATAACATCAGTGTGACGATGTGGTCAGTACTGGAGGCGGGCGTTGGTAGGAATCTCACCTTTGCATACATGGGATATCTGCTAACTTCCATACCAGCGGTTATTGTCGGCAGCCTGCCAGCCCTCAAGTCTCTCATAACAAAAAGGCACGGCAACTCAACTTACGGTTCCTCGGCCAAGAGATACAAGCATAGCGGCAGCAGCAAGACCATAAGCTCGGCGCGATCTGGCCCTCATAAGGGCCCTCACATCCGTCTACACGACCTCCCGTCTGCTGGAACCCACAACTCGATTGAAGCTAGCGGGCCTGGCTGGGACAGCGAAGATGCGATATACCTGCGGAGCTTGGATCTAGGTAAAGGGATCATACAGACGCAGGAAGTCAGCGTACACTCTCACGACCCTAATCAAAAGTGCCCGGAGGGCCCCCACATCTACTCCTCTTATGCATGAAGATGCATTCATGGGATAGCGGGTATTGTTAGATACAGCCCGCCGACACGATGTGGTAACGAACATAATGATAATGATTACCCTACTCTGACGTCTATTGTGGCTCTCGAACGAGTCCGGCCTGTGACTTTTCGGAGGGTATAAGCTCCAAGATCTTAATTAATGAAAAAAAAATTGAAAATTACAAAGCTATTTGCACAGATGAGGCTGAAACTACGAAAGGGAAAAAGACATGAATTAGTGCAAGATCCTATCTCTTCCATCTTGCGATTTTGCAGCTCCAAGACGGATGGGTGGTTCTCAGGAGTGAAATTACCCCCCCTTCCCCCCCTATTCTTCCTCGGCTCCGAGTCCACGGGAACGGAGACCTCCAAGCCAAGGCGACTCAGAATAGTAAGGCCACGCCAGAAGCCCGAGGAACGCTGGTTATAGGTAAAACATCTTCCTCCTGTTCACCTATTGATATTTCGCAACCCACCCACAGTCCTGCTATACAACTTAGATCCATGATACCTTGGAACGGAATAGAAATTCAGGGAAGCAATAGCCTTGCGCCGATCCAGGAGAGCTAATCCCTGCCAAACTACACATAAATTAATGGTTTCACGCTACCGCGGACACAAGTTACAACTCCGTAGATGCTATAACTACGTACGGAGGTTGTAGTAGGATATCCAGACGCATATAGGTGATAAAGCGGGGATAAGGGGGATAAGTGAAATCCTCCTTCTCTTTCCCTTTTCGCTCGCCGATGTAAGGCATGGGCATGAACATATATAGAACTTGTCCTCGTCAATTTCAAGCAAAAAGTAAATCTGAGTTAAGAAGAGCGGCATCTCCTTTTTGACTAAATTAATATGTTTATCATCTCGCCATCAATTAGGGTCTTTCAATAAGCTTTGTATAAAGGGGTTAAGCCTCCGTCAGCTACGTAGTACGTAGTATATAATCGTCGGCTCGCTTAGGTGGGCCTCCTTTCATCCTTTAAGACTCGACGATCACTCGGTTTTACCAGAAGTCTGAACCACGGGGAGAGAAGCGGAGTCATCTTGGTGGTGGTTTAGTAATGGATTCGGGGGTGGAGAGATCTCCTCTATTACTCCATTTATTGTAAGATCTTACTCAGCTCTCCTGTTGGTTGCGTTCCCCTTGTCAAACTGGCCCTCTTTCTCCATGGTCCAGGCTTTTGTCAGACTCCTGGAAGAAGCTAGCATAAATTTCTTCTTTAAGAAAAAAAAGATAGGCTTTCACATGTCGAAGAAGGTACTACGATAGTAGTACTACTACGACGTCCTAGGCGTAAGTAAGTATTACCCCCTGAGGGTAGGGTAAACAGAGGGTTTATAGTGGAAACTAAACTTTTGAGGCACCCTCAAGGGGCAACAATTACTACGTCCCAGGCGTAAGTATTACCCCTCGAGGGTAAGCCCCTCGAGGGTAGGGTAACCAGGGGGTTTAAAGTGGAAACTAAACTTTGGAGTCACCCTCGAGGGGTAATAGTACTTAGGCCTGTACCGTGGTACTTACGCCTGTACCGTGGTACCTTCATTATCGCCGCCAACTTCGAAGCTATTCCCACTTTGATATTGCCGTCCGCAACCCTCAATATAGCTACCCTCTTTAGTAAGCGCTCTTAAGCACGCAACAACGCCTCTCACAAACATTAGTCCGGATCTCTTCCTTTACCCAATATTTCTCTCGCAGAAGCGCAAGAGATGCTTAATCGTACAACGCAGTTCGGAATAGATTACGAGCCTGGGGGGCGCTAGTCTTAAAGCGAATTCACAACTGTCCGGTTCCTCATCCATCGAGTCCTTTCCAGGGCCCTCGCCTAGCCCCTCGCTTAGGGCCTGGCCTGGTATGTCTAGCATTCATTTCAAATCACCAGTTACTTCCTTGCAAATCATGTTATGTAGACAGTTACGCGATAACCGTCTGATAGTACGATAGTACAAATATATTGAACCCCCTTTTAGCTAGAGAGAAATCAAGAATCCTACCATACAACCAGAAAACCCATCAATCCTCATTTTGTGAGATCTTACGCTGCCATTCCTGCCCACGGACGCAGAAGATCATTCCTGCTATGTCGTGCGGTGTAGGCTTATAATACTAGAGACTGCAATGTGCATTGCAGGTCTGCTTTTGCACAATATGTTATTATAGACAGAAGAACACGGTTGTAACGTTCAATCGAGAGTTCGCTACCGGCAAACTGACAACAACACCATCACCTCGAGTCATAAATAAATGTATGCCTTTAGGGCAGAGTACGACAAGAAAAACGCAATCTAAATGGGAGCGAGAAGGTATGATTCAAGCTGATAGAACTATAATAGGCGCTATCAAGTAGTAAAAATGGAAAGTACCTGGTGGACGAGAATAGGAGATATATATACGCTTAACGTGTTTTCATTCTTCGTTTGCGATCATGGAGATTGACAAGTTTGACATCATGCTGCTACTCTGTAATGTAGTCCTGCTACTTGAGATAGCCCGGCCATATAGAATAGTACCTACTTACTGATCGCTCGCTAATCTGGCCCCGCAAGGCTCTCTGCCCTTCTTGTGCATATATGCATTAGCCTTGGCATCCTCGACATATCCCAAGGTGTCCTCGATATATATATACCAAGCCTCCCCCTCCGAAAAAAACCGAAAAAAAAAAAAAACTCGTTCAGAAAGCTTTCTCCGATGCAAATAATCTCGTCAAAAGAGAGCGAACGAGATTACCTTCCCTGATTAGCTTAACGTTCCTTTCAATCACCACACCAACCATGGAAAAAAAAAAAAAACATCGCAGTTGATTCCCAGCCAGCCAGCCCTTCGAACACACACACACACACACACACATGTACCCACACACATAATAGTGGGCCTT